CATACAGGCAAAACACACATAACATTTAAAACAACTTTTTAAAAAGCCAATGCATTTTATTCTGTGATCACTGAAAAGTAAATGAGCATTATTTAATATAAAATAAGAGTTTCATGAACTAATACCTAACAGTTTGCAGCACTCTCATACTTTGGGATTTATTTTATTTCCCTTTTAGAAACAATGTTTTGCATTCTTCTAAATATATTTCATAGTTCACTAATGGGTTGTAATGTAAAACTGAAAAAACTAGACAGTAAATATTCAAAATCATATGGTGGCTCAGCAGTTAAGAGAACAGGCTATTCTTTGGAAGGATTTGGGTTCAGTTCCCAGAACCTGCATGACAGCTCACAAGTCTCTGTAACCCCAGATCCAGGGGATTCAGGCAACAGATAGACACAACATCCATGTTCACGAAACAAAGCAATAACATAAAAAAACAAAAACAAAAACAAAACAAAAAAAAACAAAAAGCAAAAAACCAAGACAAAACAAAAACAAAAACACCACCATATGCCATGCCAAGGCTCTTATGGCAGACCAGAGTTCAGTTCCTATCACTGACTTCGGGTGTCAGGTAGCTTAAAAGCATAGTGGCATCCTCCTTCAGTCCCAGCACTTGGGAGGTGGGGGCAGGCAGATCTTTGTGAATTTGAGGCTAGCCTGCTCTACAGAGCTAGTTCAGTGGCAGAAGTCCACCTTGGGTTTGTTTCTTGATCCCTTTCCATCTTACTTATGAAGGTGGTCTCTTAACTGAATCAGGTGCTCATCGATCCAGCTAGTCTGGCTGGCCAGTGAGCTTCAGGGGCTCTCTTATCTCTGCCCAATGCCCCAGCAGTGAAGTTAGAGGTGTGCTACACTGCCTGGCTTTTAGGTAGATGCTGGGGATCTAAACACAGGTCTTTGTGCTTGTACCGTTGAAGGAACTATGTTCCAGCCCCCAAGTTACATCTGAAAATAGGATAGACAAAGCTATTTTTAATAATCCACACAAATTAGGCTAGTAAGGTGGTTCAGCAGGTAAAGACACTTGCCAACAAGTCTAATGACCTAATTCATACATCTCTTGTGGTTTCATTCACCATGTTATTCTGCCATGCCACACACCTGGGATGCTCGTCTTCACCTCTTCACCTTTGTAGACTTGACTAACTCATGCTTGCTTGCCCTTTCCATGCTGCCTCCCCAGATTTCTCAGCCCCACTGTGTCCCATCCTGTCCCTGCCTTGTGAATTAGAATCATCACACTGTGTCCTGCTGACCTCCTCTAGGAAGTCTTCTCTGACCCCCCATCTGCTCTACATGTGCTCCTTGAGCTTTGGGGGCTCTCTGTGTTTACCATTCAGAAAACAACTGTGCTGTTGACATAATTACCTATCAGTCTTTCCAACTAGAATGTCTGAAGACAGTCTAAATAGATCAGGGTTGTGAGTGCCCAGCACTTCAAGAAACAAGGGGAAATTGCAGAATCACATTCGTAGACATATACATGATAGCATAGATAAAATCAAGAGCTCTCTCATCAAAAGGAAATGAGATTAGTTACCACATAATTTTAGCATGTTGTCCAGTTCATTAGAAAGCAAGGGAAAACACTAAACGAAAAAAAAAATATAAGACATTATACCGAAAGCTACATAAAATATGAGCAACATGCGGGAGAACCAGACACCCAAATTACCATTGTGAACTGATGTGGGATAATGCTCTTGTACACAATAAAGATTTGTTACTCCTATTGACTTAATAAAATGCTGATTGGCCAGTAGCCAGGCAGGAAGTATAGGTGGAACTAGCAGACTAGGAGAATTCTGGGAAGAGGAAGGCAGAGACAGAATCACAGACACAGGGGAAGCAAGATGAGAAGCGAGATGAGAATGCCATACTGAGAAAAGACACCAAGTCATGTTGCTAAACATAGATAAGAGTTATAGGATAATTTAAGTTGTTAAGAGCTAGTTAGTAATAAGCCTGAGCTAGGCCAAACAATTTATAATTAATATAAGCCTCTGTGTGTTTATTTGGGACTGAAGGGCTGCAGGATGGGGCAGGACAGAAATTTCTGTCTATGGTGAAGTTAAAGCCATCAGTCTATAGTTAAAGACTGGGACTACTAGTAGCCTGGACTCCCCCTCACTTGAACCCTGAGCCTCCCACGTCATGGGCTTCCATAACACAGAGCTGTAGCCTGTTGATTCTGGGTTCCTAAAAGGGCCAGCTTGTGTCTAGGTTGGTGCATGCCTTGGCTCCTGGGAAAACACAATGGAGTATTATTTCTAATTTAGGCCTTTAGGATTCTTGTATATTGGCAAAATATGCATTCAGAACCCTAAATAAATGCATAAATGAGCTATCATAGACAAGGATGTATCACAGATTTAAATACCCAAGTAAGTAAGGAAACGTAAAAATCTCAAGAAATTTCTAAGAATTGATACCAAAGACTCTCTCTCTCTCTCTGTGTGTACATGTATAGGTTTGTGAGGAAGAGGTTGTGTTTTTAAAAGTATGTATCAAATTATTCTCTTAAATTCTTTTAAAAATTATTTTAAATTATGTGTGTGCATGTGCAGGTACCTAAAGGGCCTAGAGGCGTTGGATCCTCTGGAGCTGGAATTTAGGCAAGTTGTGAACCACCAATGTGGGTGCTGGGAACTGAACTTACTCCTGAACCATCCCTCTGTCCCCTCACCCTGCACCGTCCCCCAACTCTTGCTTTGTGTATTTGAGACAGGTTCTCATATATCTCTGGCTGGCCTAAAATTCACCATGTAGCCTTAAACTTCTGGTCTTTCTGTTTCTACATTCTAAGCATGGGATTACAGGCCTGGACCCATACCTGGCTTTGTTTCCTTAGTTTTCTGAAATGGTCTCACACTTGGCAGTCCAGGCTAGCCTGGAACTTATGATATAGCCCACAGGCTGTTTTCAAGTTTGTAATTCTCCTGCCTCAGCTTCCTCAGTTCTGGAATTACAGGTATGAAGGCACAATACTCTGCTTCAGTGACATATTATTTGAACATTAAAGTTGCAAATCAGTATCAAAAAAACTTAAAAAATGTAAATTGTGGGAGCCCATCCCACATAGAGAGATACTTTTTCAGCCTAGACACATGGGGAAGGGCCTAGGCCCCATCTCAAATAATATGACAGAATTTGAAGACTCCCCATGGATGGCCTCACCCTCCCTGAGGAGCAGAAAGGGGATGGACTGGGGGTTGGGGGGGTGATAGGGGAGAATGGGACAGTGAGGGAACTGGGATTGACATGTAAAACAACCTTGTTTCAAATTTAAATAAAAAAAAAAAAAGGAAAAAAAAGACAATGCTGTGTAACTGGTATAAATAATAAAATAATAGTAAAATTGAAAAAAGTAAATTGTTGGGTATTTGGAAACAAACTTTTTTAAATAACTCATAAAGCATGAGGGTTATAGCTAGTGGTAGGGCATTCACAAAGTCCTGGGTTTGATTACCCCACCACAGACACCACAAGCCAAGTCATAAAGGGAGGCGTGGAGATGGGGAAGTGGGGGAAGTGGTTGTTCATGTGTGAGAACTGGAGTAATCAAAGCTTGGTGGGCATGACTGCCTACCTGAACCCCAGCATGTAGGAGGCAGAATCAGGGATTCCTAGACTAGCTCAAAACAGGGAATGCTGGGTTCAACTGATACTTTTCATATGTATGTATGTATGTATGTATGTATGTATGTATGTGAGAGCCATTAAGACATCTAATTTCAAGCTCAGCCCTCTACATATGTGTGTATACATGTAATACACATACATGCACAAAGTCATAAAAGTAATTTAAATATTTTAAAAAATATGTAACATAGAAAACCTCATGGGTTGTGGAAAAATAGTTGTAAAATATGTGACATATATCTATAATCCTAGCACTTTGGAAGTTGAGGCAGGAGTATCACAAGTTAGGTGCTAGTCTAGGTTACAGACTTCTATGTCATTCTGAGATATATACCATCCCCAGACCTTGTCTGAAAACAAAACAAAGCCTGAATATGTGCCCCAGTGCTCTGAGTGCCAGCCTACCTGTGACCCTCAGCCTTAGCTAAGGGTGGAGGTTCATAACATAGAAGAAAGCTTGAAGGCAGGCTTGCTGGGTCACAATTTTAGCACCCAGGAAGCTGATGATGGAAGACTGTCTTGAGTTCTCTCAAAAAACCTGTAGCTATAACCAGCTGTCTAAATTAAGATATTATAAAAGGGGCAGGGTATATAGTACATTTGGTAGTGTTTGCCTATTATGCATGAAGCCCCAAGTTCCAGCCCAACACTACAAAAGTATGGCACGGTGGCACATGTCTGTAATCCTAGCACTTGGAAAGTGGAGACAGATGAATAAAAAGTTCAAGGCTATTTTCAGCTACATAGTGATTTAGAGGCAGCCTGGGCTACTAAAAACAAGCAAAAATATAAATGTGTCTTTAAAAAGAAGAGGATACTAACTATATGGAAACAAAATCAAACCTTAAAAAAGTAGCAAACACTATGGATAATTAATGAAATGGAAAACAAATGAGAGGATCAACAAAGCCCACAGTAACTAACATCTGAAAATTTACAACTAAAATTTCTGATACAATTGATCAGGGGGTGGGAGACACAAGTAAATAGCAGAAATGAAAGGAAAATAGAATACATTAACTTCATATTTGAAAAGAACAACGAGCTGGGCATAGTGGTGCTTGCCTTCAATCCCAGCACTCTGGGCTATATAGTGAGATTCTGTTCCAAAATAAAAAGAAATGACATGAAATGCACACTAAACTGGAAAAATGACTCAGGAGCCCAAATAGTTTATACTAAATAGCTGGAGCCAGTAGTTGAAATGATGTCTACAAAGAGCTGGCCACAGTGGTGCACATCTTTAATCACAGCAGTTTGGAAGCAGAGCCAGGCAAAGCTACATACTAAGCTCTACCTTGAAAAGATAAAACAAAACAATATGCCCACAAAGAAACAGAAGGCTCAGATGGCTTTATAGGTGAGTTTTATCAAACATTCAAGAACAGTTCATTTCAATATGATGTAAACTCTTCCATAAAGTAAGACAAGAGGCAACAGTCCCCAACTCAGTACACAGACCAAAAGGATAGTCTAGGACCATCTTAGTAACCTCTTCAGGAATCTTACTAAAAACAAAGGCACTCATATACAAGAATGTTTATAGCAGCATTGTGTATAATAACAAAAACCTGGAAACAGCCCAATGTTATTCAATAGGTGAATGACTGGTTAAGTTGTGTTCTATGTGCTTCCTACAGTATTATACAGACGAAAATGAATGAACCATAGCTATTACAACACAGATGACTCTTAGAAACAATGGTAAGTGCAAAAAAGCAAACTTCAAGGGAATAACAGAGTACAACATTTCTGTAAAGCTAAAATACAAGCAAAATGAAATAATACATTCTTAAAGAATATATACACACATGGCCAATATACATAAACAAGTGATTAATGAGCATAAAATTTAAGACAGTGGTTACCTCTAAGCAGAGGTAGGGAAGGGGGCATAAACCTAATAATATTTTTAATGTATAAGTTAAATGACGGGTCATAGGTACTCATTATATTTCATAATTTATAGTACATATTTCTTTATAGATATCAAATATTATAATTTTTAAAAAATCTGCTCTTGTGGAAATAAATGGAGAAATGGGTGATATCTCCCTGAAAGAAAATCTGTATTTCTTGGGGGAATAAAACCATGACTCCCTGACAAGAAGCTATCCTGTGGAGAGGACAGAGTAGGAGGTCCTTAGTTAATATGGGTTGGTTTCTTGCTGTCCCCAAGGATATATCTGGAGTGTCTGGATCCTTCCTGCTGGTGCTCCCTGACTTGCAGAATCGGTACCACTTATCCCCGCCCCCCAGTCCTGGTAGCACCTGACACATGTATGACAAGAGACTGACACCTGGTGGATGCAGAATGAACATAATGAATAAAGAAAGTGACACCAGATTGGTGGGCAGGATTGAGAAAGTAAAATTCAGATCATTAAAGGAGCTGTCTGTAAGACAGGTAGAAAAGTTGTCATGTGAGAATTAGACTCTGAAGAGAATGGCCTCCTTCTCTGTCCTTCTCTGACTACAATGAAATAAGAAGTTACAGCTGCACTGACAAAAATTAAAACTCAGGGAACCTAAGGCAGCAGTCTAGCTCACCTCAGCCTACCAAGCTAAAACATACTTTCCGAAGCTCTCCATCCTTCACTCCAAGTCTCCATCTGGGGAAGTCTGTTGTATGAGAAAGCTGATTCCACCCTTTTTTCTAAAGCTGGTCCATGATGTGTAATAAACACACTAGCATAAACATCTTCCTGGCCACACTAGTTGGTCAAGAAAAGACCTGACCCAGGCTGGTTTATCATAGTGAATCTTTGGGCTTTCGCTAGGATTCCTGGCACAATGAAACCCTTTCTTTCTGCTTAGATGTAATGGTCAAATACAGTTCTAGGAGTGTTGGCAGCTGTGAAGTGGTCCAAACTAAGGATGATTTTTACATTAGGTATGAAAAACATACTGAACAATCAGATCAAGTCTCACCTGGAGCGAGCACCACCTCTTGACTTCTCAATTTCAGAAGCCAATAAATAGCTTTTATCTTAAGTGTGTGTTCTAAATGTATTAGAAGCCAGAATATCCCTAACCTGTATTCACATTTACCCTACCTCTGTTTCTCCCAGGAGAGTACAGGGATCTAGGTGGGAGGTCATTACACATTTACTAGTTGTATTAAAGCCAAGGCATTTAGCTGGAAAGGTTTGAAGCAGCCACCAGGCACTATGTAAGCCAGGCCAATGGGTTCCTTTAGGGAAAGGCTAGCTGAATGAGAAGCAGGTGCAGTGAAGGGCCTCTACCAGGCGGGCAGGTGGAGCTCACAAGAACATAGCCATTCTTCCCACAGGCCTGGCTATCACGGGGGTGTTGCTTTGGGATCTTTATGCTCATAGGTTAGGGAACTTTGAAGTACACGCCCCTTTAACCCTTTGTTACCCTGTGTTGCAGTGTCAGTCTCTCCCTTTACCAATGGAAGAGCCTCCCTTTGAATTCTGCCCTTGATAACACTCACTTTTGAGGTGATGAGAGGAATTTTATCTTCTGCTTCTTTGGCTTGCTGGGAACTCAGGCTCCTTTCTTCTTTGGAAACAGCACAATCTTTCTGACCTTGAGTGGGCACTGTTTCCTGCTCAGCTTCACCCATTGGCCCTAGTCTTTCTGGTCTCCTAAGTAAGTTGTCTTCCCCTTTTGAGCCCCATGTCTCCCAGAGTAACCTTGGAGACTGGGGAGAATTCACAGCAGCTGCAGCTTCAGACTTCTCCGGAGTAGGGTGTCTCTCCCCGCTCCCACCTGGCTTTTTTCGAGGACGGCCCCGCTTCCTTTTGGCTTCACTTACAGTATCCTCTGTATAGTGCTTCACTTCTTTAACTGGTGGGTCCTGCCCACTGGCCTCACTCAAAGGCACTTCAGCTGTCCTTTTGATACCCTTGTCATGGGGTCGTGGGTCACCACTTATGCCCATCTCCCTGCTCTCTGTGCCTCTAGGCAGAATGAGTGCCCTAGGTGGAATTCGCCCAGTTCCAGGCACAGGCACAGGCACAGGCACAGGCACAGGCACAGGCCCAGCCCCGGGCACAGGCCCAGGCCCAAGCCCAGGCCCTGGCCCAAGCCCAAGTCCAGCCCCAGCCCCTGGTAAAGTAGGAACAGGTGGTAAGATCATGTTAATGATGGGCACAGCTGTCTGGGGTCCCCCAACCCTAGTGGGCAGAGGCAATGTAGCTACTTTCAGAGTGCCTGAAGAAAGCTTAGGGGCCAGAATAGGTGGAATAAGTGATGGTGGAGCTCGGGGAAGGAGCACAGGCAGTCGGGCCACAAGGGCATTAACTTGTGGCTTACTGGCTGCTGGAGCTGAGCTGTCAATTACACTCTTCTTCCGTTCTCCATGTCCTGCAGGGTCAGTTCCAGCCCGGGGTTCTAGCTCCTTAGGAGGCTAAAATGCAAACAGAGCGGTAATAAGTTGTAATGACTGTGAATACGGAGCTGGAGAGATGGCTCTGAAATTAAGAGGCTTTGTTGTTCCTTCAAGAGGATCTAGGTTCAGTTCCCAGTACCCACATGGTGGCTCACAACAGTAACTCTAGTTCCAGGGGATCTGAAGTCCTCTTCCCCCTTAGGCACCAGGTACACATGTGGTGCACCTATATGCCTGCAAACAAACCATTCCTACACATAATAAAGACTGAATACAGGAGGGAAAGAAGGGGCTTGGTGCACCAGAAGTGAAAAAGCAGGAAGTTCACTGCTGGAAGGGTACATTAAAACCCAAGCCCTAGGCCACAAACTCAGAGGCATTGGCTGCCTCACCTGGGCAGGTCTTTCAGGCTTCTTAGGACCGCCACCTTCCGGGTTCTCAACACCATTCTTGGATTTACATGATGACCGTTCTCGAGGGACTCTTTCATCTTCTTCTGTAAAGGTACCCAACGGTAAGAAAGCAAGGGTGAGGAGAAAACCAAGGTGTGGAGAGTGAAGCGAATCTGCCTGCCTAACCCTGGGACAGACGCAGAAAGCCTATGCTTAAAGCATGTCTAAGAAGCAACTCCAGGAGGGGTTGGGCTAATAATTCAGTTGGTTACATGCTTGCCACAAAAACATGACTTAAGTTCCAGCTGGCCCGCACACCTATCCACCCATACAAAAAGAAGGATCCCCGGGAAGAGACGGAAATCCAAAGTGTGTCTACTCTTGTATTTAGGAAGGCCTTTAGAGCTGAAAATGAAATCAGTATACAACAGTATGTGCCTGCTGGGAGGCTGAGGCAGGAGGACTGGTAGAGCCCAGGAGTTCAAGTCCATTTTGGCAATATAGTGAGACTCTGCACCCCCACCCCGAAAAAAAAGCTAAGCTAAAAGTGGCTGAAGAGTTCTCAGACATAAGAGCAGGTCCACCCACCAGCAAGGCCCCCAGCCTTAAGCACATGAGCATGTGCGGATCGGGCAGAGATGAGATGCTGCTGCAATAGGTAGCGGGCCACCTGGACGATGGAACTGAAGGACCGTTTCAGGATCCGTTCTGCCCAGTCACAAGTCAGGGCACAGGCTGCCTCTACCAGTTCATCCCGAGGTGCTGGGGTTACTTCTGGGCCCATTTCTGGCTGGAATGGAGAAAGACAAGCTCAGTCATATTACCAAGTAAATTGTTCCTCCCCTACTACTGACTAGAGCAGAAACTAGACTGAAGACAGAAGTAGCTCCTACCCATTTAAGATCCAGAAACTCAAATCTCTTCCCCCTCCCCATGCTTCTGCCACAGGGAAGGCAGTCTACCAGACACAATGTATGGATGATTAGTTTTCACAGCTATAAAAACAAGTCCTAAAACTCTGTCTTTTACCTGGGAGAGAGAATTAATTAATATTGGAAGGTCATTACTTACACTCTCAGAACCCTTTAGGTCAAGTCCAGGCAGTGGTGGCATAGATACCAAGGTCTTCCTTCGGATGCCACTGTAACAGTATCTGATGCATGTTAAGGAGCAGCCAAAATCTGGGGCTCTTCAAGCCTCTTAGGCAAGTTAGGTTGCCTATATCACACCTTTTCCTCCCAGGTCCTCCAGTCCTAATCTCTCAGTCAAGGATACTTGGATTGGCCCCGACCACCGAGTCTTCGGGCCTTGATGTCAGGGAAGATCTCTCTGATGATTTTACCAAAGTTGGCTGTGCTGAGTGGGCGGCAACAGGCAAGACTCTCACAGTACTTTCTGAGTGAGGAGGGGGTAGAGTGAGAAGATATTTAGAGAAGGCTAATGGTGGGCTCAGAGGGTTCCTAGGGACCAAGTATAGGGAACCCTTTAAGAGGTCACACTCTAGCAAGGCAGGAGGAACTTGAGGGCTAAGGGTCTAGTCCTGAGCTAACAACCCATGCACCACCTTTACATACCGATAGGCATCATAGACACTCTGCTTTGGCAGACAAGTGTCCATGTGCTCTTCCAGGTGGTTGCGGATCCACCTATAGGCATACATATACTCCTCATTGCTGAGTATACTTGGCTCTGAGCTATAAGACAAGCAAAGGGGACAGACATGCTTCAATGGTGCTGGATCAAATCGATTAGTTCCAAACCCACCTTTCTCTGCTAAACCAAGCCAGGACAGGGCATCAGCTATGCATCGCCTACTTTTTTTTTTTTTTAAAAAAAGACTGTACGAATGAGTGTTTTATCTGCATGTATGTATGTGTGCTGCATGTATGCCTGGTGCCCATAGAGGTCAGAAAGTAAGCAGTATCACAGTTTCCAGAACTGGAATGACAGATGGTTGTAAGCTACCATGTGGGTGCTGGGAATTGAACGTGGGTCCTATGCAAGAACAATCAGTGCTCTTAACCCCTGAGCCATCTCTCCAACACCCCTCTCTTACTTTTTGACTCATCACAATGAGACTTAAAATCAGAACCTGTGACATCCAAAACACTAACACCAAGTACCTTTTCTCTCCAATGCTGGGCCCTGAAGGGAGCTGAAGGTAGAGATACAGCTTGTCATTGTCGGAGAACTTCTGTACTTCTTGCTGAGGCAGAAGGGAACAGAGGGAGGAGATATGAAGCCAAGGACCCAGTAAGTAATCTGATCTGACCATAAAGTCCAGCTGACTCTAAGTCAGGTTGTCGGAATGAAAAGGGCCCTTAGAAACGACTAAAGGTTGAGGGTTCACTGTCCTGAGGAACCTTACGGGCTTCCATGGAGAGAAAGGGAGAAGAGACAGGGGGTTGTGTTTGATTTTATCTCTCTCTACATAGGTCACAGAAGGATGAAGCCTCTCCCACATAAACCTTTATTTAATTTTCTCACATCATCACCACCATCCCCACCCCTCAGCAATGCCACCTGTATGGCCCTTTCCCAACATGCTTACCAGAATTCCCTCTACTTTGTTCTGCACGGCCTTGCTGTGGAGAAGAAGAAAAGCTGGGGGTCACAAGGTTTCCCCATCCCTTTGATCGGTAGAGACAGAAGCCTGAACTGTTACCAAGACCACAGACTTGGGCCTGAGGGAGGAGTGAAGGGCAACAAGGGCCTATAGCCGTTTAGAGGCAGAGCAGAATGATTACTTACGAAATGGTACCTCGGAGCCTTTGGAGGAGGGTGGTGGGTTCCCCAGCTTCAGCACCACCTTGAGGCCTTGCCGAAGTCTTGGGGCTCTTAGCATCAGGTTTATCTTCTGCCATCCCAGCATGAGGACTAAAGCTGGGAGAAAACAGAGCATGAGGATTTAACTCCCACCAAGCTTCCTTTCCCCTAGAGACCCCAGGGCAGTCCTGTTTCTACCCAGAAATACAAACAGAAGCAAAGCTTCCCCCAGTGGTTTTCCTCACCACTTGCCTTCTCTAAAATTAGAATTATTCCGTTACTTTGTCAGGCCCTTCTAGACCCAAAGAGATCTCTGACATCTCCATTCTAGATGTCTCACCTTTGGAAGCTTCTCAAATCTGGAAAACTGTTATAGGAAGAGACAGGGGTAAGGAAATGCATGTTAGAAAGAAATTATTTCTCCTAGTTCTGTAACCGTTCCCCGCCCCCCCGCCCGGGAAAACACACACACACACACACACACACACACACACAAAATGATAATGACAAACCAAAGTTCTCCGATATTCTAGACTCCCCGCCATTGATTTTGCCTGGGGGGTCGGAAGGGATACGAACATACTGGGCCCTTCCAGGTTTTGAGAAGAAAAAAAAAAAAAAGGGCCCAAGTTCTCATTACTGAGTCTCGCCACGGCTTCCCCCCCTCCCCCGCTGCCCCCCTCACCGCGGCGCGGACCCTACGTCATCCCATGACATCCCACCCCGTGGCGTCCCCACTCCCCTCGGGGCCCTCCACCCCATCCCTAGGTGCTGGCCCGGGGACGGGGGGGCGGGGAAGCGGGAGTCGGTCTCGGAACTCCGGAGACTAGGCGCAGAAAACGCTGCGGGGAACCGGGTCCGAGATTCTGGCACGTGCGCACGGGTGAGGAGCTGCGGAAAGCTGGTCCCGAGTCCTGTCGCCCCTCCTACCTCGGAACCGTCACCTTCCAGCACCGTCATTAGAAAGGTAAGAGAGAAAGAGAAACTAGCCCCTTGGCTACCTCAGCTCCAGCCCAGCCCCACGGTGCCCGGCCGGCGGGCTCGTGCGTTGCTTTTATTTTCCTTTTTCTGAATGGTTGTGCCAGCTGCGATCTGCCTGGATACACGCACGGCCTACTCTGTGATTGGTTGTTTCTGCCACCAAGACGAAGGCAGTGAAAGTCTGCCTGGTAACAGAATCTGATTGGTCGAGAGGGGAGGGAAAATCCAAAGTTAGTCTTATTTGAGTCAAGAAGGGGAAGTCCAGGTTAGGTTTCGGTTAAAACTGGGGTCGGTTAGGCCTGCGGGTCCCGAGAGGGTTCTCTTCTTAAAGGGACCGCAAGGTGAAATCCCGAGCGCTCCGCTGCAGCCGCTCTTTAGCCCTCTGATCCTGAGCTGTAAGGTCATCGAGGAAGCGAAGAGGGAGCGAGAGCGGGCTTTACTCTGCGTAGATGCCCTGTAGGGTCGAGAACCACCGAGGGGTTACGGGGTAGGAAAGTGGTTGGCCGAGGGTAGCTGGGAAATAAGGTGAGTTTAAAATGTAGGGAGGCTGATAAACATCCTCATTATTGGGTCGATAGGCAAGAATCAAGATAAGCAAGTTACATTGGTTGTGGGAACCAAATTTCTCTGGTTTCAGGAATGAACATTATTTCACCAAAATTGGGGAGCTTTACAAAATAGAGAGGCCATAGCTACCATGTTTGATTTTTGCCTTTGGTTGTTAGAGCTCCTCAAAGGAAATGGATGACTTTTTGTCTAGAGAATTGCTAGAAAATGATGGCTAGTGATGGCAATTCATTATAAAATCCTGTAACTCCTTTTTGTTATAAATCAAGTTGAACCATTCCACCTTTTCCCCCATCCCCTGTGGCCAACAACCTCTTAACAGCAGGCTCCCTTTTCTTCCACAAATAAGCTTCTTCAAATCCTTAGCAGCTGTACCACATTAAGTGAAAAATTGTTCTCTGTTGTTAGCCATGGCCATGCCATTTTATATAGTGCCTCCGTTTTACCTAAACAATGACAGCTCCCAGGACTAAAGTAACTTAATGCCAACTCATTTTCCAGATTCTCGCCTCATCACCCCATCTACTCTCTGCCTCCCTAGCTACCCTTAGTAACTACTGACCATTGGCCACAAAAGGAAACTGTATAGGCCCTTCCTCCTCTCCATTTTCTCTCCTAGAATTGTTTCCATTCTTCCACTGGAGAACCTCCCCCCAACCCCTTTACAGGTCCTTTCCAGAATAAAGCCTGTCTGTTGAGCCTCTGCTCCTTTACTCTGTCTTCTTTCCGCGTTCATCTCCCTCTGCCTTTTTGTACTCTGGTCTCCTGTGTACTTGAACTTCTTCCGAGGAGCTGCATTCATATAGTTCCCTACTTGATGAACCTGGGGACCTTGATTGGGTCCTGCATGAAGACATTTGGTAGTGTGGCAACTTTCCCCTTCAGAGAAGATTATATTTGATGGGTTATGGGTGCTTAACCCTCTCCAGGTTTGTGGAGACCCTGATGAAAGGTGCACCTGCTAAGTCTGCACCTGTCTTCTGTGGTTGTGGTCTCCAGGTCAAGTTTCTCAAATGGATGGATTTTGTTCTGCACAGCAGAGATGTGGTACCCCAAGTCATATTTCCAGTCCAGACCAGAGTGTGTTGTAAAGGAGATGGTGCTTGTGGTTTCATTCCCATAGTCCTGTGAGGCCCCCCATTTCCCACAATGGGAAATGGGGATGAAATAATCTTTTCTATGGAAGAGTTCATGAGATTGAGTAAATTCTGTCTTTGAAGGAATTGGTAAAGATGCCACCAGACAAACCCCTCCTAGTCAGTATTTGCCTTAAAGGTTGACTGGGATACTGTGTTCAGAAATTGCGCTTTGCTAATCAGCTGCGCTGCCAGCACTAAGTCCAGGAGGCAGCCTTCTGACCACTCAGAATAAGGCACAGGACTCTTTCGGAATAAACACCTAACATCACTCTCCCTGTACCATATACTTGCTTAAGCATGGCTAAACTCCTTCTGCAGAAGTCAACTGTCTTACCTTGCTCAAACAAGGTATTACAGTTTCCCGGTTCGACTCAGCTGTCAGTTGTACATAGCTTAGAGTTATTGAGGGAGTTTCAGTTGAGATTGGCCTGTGGGGCTACTTGGTTGCTAATTGATGGAGAGCTCAGACCTCTGTAAACAATGCCTGGGCTGTATGAAAAAGGCAGCTCAAGTGGGTAGGGAGTGAGCCAGTGAGTGTCCTGCATGGTTCCCACCTCTGTTCCTGCCCTGGCTTCCCTTGGTCACTGTTACCTAGAAGTTTAAGAGGAAATAAGCCCTTTTCCTCTCCAAGATACTTTTGGTCAGAGTGTAGCACAGCAACAGAAAGCAAGTTAGAACGTGTGGCCATTTTCTTGAGACTTCCAGACCCATTTTAAACACTACTACTATCATCTGTTAGTTCTGGGGAAAAGAAGCGTTATGGAATTTGCTGGCAGAAGGCTTTCTATTTGGTTTTCATGGTATGATTTACACCACTCTTAGCTTCAGGTTTGGTGGAGGCTTGATGTTGCCTAACTTTGTGGATACATTTTGAGATGTTTATTAATCAGGAGACTGTTAGGTCAGAGAGAAAGTTGAGGAAATTGGCCTAAGGGCCTAAGATAGCTCAAGATAATTTTGGTGACTCATTTTTGTTTTGTTTTGTTTTTCAAGACAGGGTTTCTCTGTGTAGCTTTGTAGACCAGGCTGGCCTCAAACTCACAGAGATCTGCCTCCCCAGTGCTATGACTGGTAGGCCTAAAGGTGTACACCACCACCATCTGGCTGGTGACCCAATTTTACAATTGTGATTTTTGTTTGCCTTTTCCTTTCTTTTTATTTTATTTTATTTTATTTTATATAACAAAGTCCAATTAAATGAAAACAAACATTTATACGCAATATTTGGGAATTTGGGCGTTGTTCTTTCCAAACTACTTCCTGCTGGTAAGGGGCGCTGTCTTGGGGGGTTTTCCTTTCTTTTTAAATACATGATTTTTGGGCTGGAGAGATAGCTCAGTGATTAAGAGCACTGGCTGCTGTGGTTGTTCTTCTAGAAGACCTGGGTTTAATTCTCAGCAGCCATGTGGCAGCTCACAACTGTCTGTAACTCCAGTTTCAGGGGACATGGCATCCCCACACAGACATACATGCAGGCAAACCCACAATGTATATAAGAAAGAAAAACATTACATGGTTTCACTCTAGTCAAGTGTAACCTTGGACCCTCCATGTACCCCAAGTTCATCCTGAACTCATTGAAATCCTCCTGCTTTAATCTCAGAGAAGTTTTAATTTGCATTTCCCTGATGTCTGGGGATATTGAACACTATTTAAAATTGTTATTGTGTTTCAGGTATGATGACACACACCTTTAATCCCAGCACTAGGGAGACGGAGGCAGGAGAATCTTTGTGAGTTCACGACCAGCTTGGTCTACACAGGAACTTACAGGCCAGCCAGTGCTGCACAGTGAGACCTTGTCTCAAAAAAGAAAGGGGAAAAAAAAAAAAAAAAAAGTACTAGCTATTTGGTGCTGGCTGGCATTTTCCTTTTGGAAACTCTACTTTTTGGTGATTGACAGTTCTATTTCCTTGTTAATTAACTCCTGCAATCCTTTGTAAATTCTGGATATCAGCCCCTTGTCTGAATTGTGGCTGGTAAAATTTTCCTCCATTCTGAGAATTGTGTCCTCTGCTGTACTTGGGGTTAGTTCCTGCACTGCTTGCTGGTGGCATTTAAAAGAGCCCTGGCTGACCTCAAACTCACAAGAGATCCACCTGCCTCTGCTTCTGGGATTAGAGGTGTGGTCAGTTTTGTCAGCACCAATTGTTGAATAGGCTATCTTTTTTCCAAATTATGTTTTTATCTTCTTTATCAAGTATTGAGTTTTGCTGTTTTCTTTCTGGGTTCTTTATTCCATTTCATTCTTCTGTCTGTCTATTTCATTCCAGGACCAGGCTGTCTTTATCACTTTAGCTAGATGATATGATTTGAGGTCAGGGGTTGTAATATCTCTAACAGTGTTATTACTCCCTAGGAGTACTTATCTATTTGTGGTCTTCTGTGGTTCCGTGTGGTTCTTGTATTGCTATTCTAACTTATGAAAAAAAATGGTATGGAATGTGGATAGATATAACTCTTTATATTAATCTTCAGTATAGATATTTTCACAATATTAATCCTGCCTCCTCAGGAATATGTAATCTTTTCCCACTATTTAATATCTCCTGTGATTTCCTTTTTAGCAATCTTGAAGTTTTCATTGTATTCAGTTAAATATATTCCTAAATGCTTAATTTGGGGGCAGAGGTTTTTGTTTGTTTGTTTGTTTGTTTGTTTGTTTTTGGTTTTTTGTTTTGTTTGGTTTGGTTTTAGTTTTGGTTTTTTTGAGACAGGGTTTCTTTGTAGCTTTCCAGCCTGTCTGGAACTCCCTCTGTAGACTGGGTTGGTCTCAAACTCACAGAGATCCTCCTGCCTCTGCCTCCTGAGTGCTGGGATCAAAGGTGTGCACCACAAACACCCAACCAAAGTTATTTTGAATGGAATTTGTTTCCTAATTTCTTTCTCCAAGAGTATTAGTACAAATGAATGCTGCTCTAGAGACAAATGAAATGGAAAGCACATCTTATCACAGCCTCTGGAATGAAGCCAGGGCAGCCCTAAGAGGAAAGTTTATAGCTCTAAATCCTCAAATTAAAAATCTGCGTGATTAAATACCTTTAATCCCAGTACTTGGGAGGTTGAGGCAGGTGGATCTATGAGTTCGAGGTCAGCCTGGCCTACAGAGTGAGTTCTAGGACAACCAGGGCTACACAGAGAAACCAAAACAAACTCAAGAGATATGAAATAATGTAACGGTGAACCCTCAAGGCTCTCAGAAAGCAAGAAGCTACCCCTAAACATATATGGGAAGAAAATGAAATTGAGATTAAAATGACAGTACACAAATTCAAAGAGCTGGTTCTTTGAAAAAGTAAGATAGACAAGTTTTAGCTAATGTGGCAAGAAGAGAAGACAGACGTTAATAAAATTAGAGCTCAAGGGTGTTGCTACAGTGATTGCCACTGAAATCAGAACGTCATTAGAAATT